CACTTTCGCCTCGCGGTCTTCTCGCTCTCACTCTGGCGCATCGAGTGAGGGCAGGAGTCGAACCGAGGTCGCGGAGATCGTAGCCAATATGATGCGCGCGCGTGTGTGGGTCGATATGTGGAGCGGTGGCGCAGTGGTTAGCACGCAAAAAAAAGACAAAAATCCCCCGTATAGCCTGTAGAGGCAAGTGCTGTTAGCGAGCACCCATGAAGAACGGCACGGCACACGAGGGGGTGGGTGGCCAACACCACGCCCGGCCGCCTTTGTCTCCCTCGTGACAATGTTTACACACCGCACCAGGTACTCATTTGAGTCGACCTAGGGGAGGCCCCAGACCGGTTCAGATAATCGTCACCGGTAATGGTGGCCGTGAGCGTGAATCGAACTCGGGTCGCCGGGTTCGTAGCGCAACGCGCTAACCGCTACACCACAGCTCCCGGGTGACACACACACACGCAGGCAAGCACGTGCGCACCAAATGCCGCACACCTGCCATCAATACAGAATTGTGTGCTGGCCAAGATTTGTCATCGCTAATTCTCACCCCACGTTAATAATGTCTGTTACAAAGATAAAAAAACCGATGCAACTATAACGTCGTGAGAATTTTATTGTTTTTATATTTGTATTATTTTATTGTTTCCCTTCTACGTGACTTTACCGAAAGAACCAAGAATACAACTATAACCTATTTTTTTATTTTGCCAGGTAAGGCCCAATGAGCTCCATCGCTCTTTTTCAGAAGCAACCTGGCCACGAATGATCGCTCAACGTCGTGACTTTTCACGTGGAAATGTAGAACAGCTAAATACTCGAAATGCTTCTTGATTCTAAATGTGGAGGGAAAAAACCGAAAGGACCCGGAGAAAAATCCACGCGACCGCGGCGAGAAAGAGACGCAAACTCCAGATATACAGGCGTCGTCTGGGTCGGGATCGAACCCACGACCTCCTGCATACCAAGCGAGGTAGTTAACATCTTGCCAATGTAGCGCCCAAGGAACAGCCTTGCATCAGTATATTAATCTTGTACTACTCTCCTATTATTCATGGACGCGCGAGCCAATTAGCTAGCAGCACTCGGGGGAAAGTCGAATTTTTAAATGTCCCCTGTGGGGCCCAACGACGAACGTTACTTAACCAGTGTATAGCAATCGCTATGACGATTGATCGGAAAACACGATTGACGCAGGAAATTGAAAATCTGAGAAGTGCGCAAAGGAATGTGTTCAGGGGCATGCCTAGGATCACACTGGGACACGCAGAGAGAGAGAGAGATGGACACGTGGATTCGAGAACATTCGCCTAGTCATGAGCACAATATTGAGTTATGTAAAGCGCGCTTGAGCAAGACACATCACGAGAAAGGATGATGACCCGATGGTCGAGTCTCATGACGGGGTGACGGGCAGAGGAGAGCAGCGCGCCCGAGAGTATGTCCGCCTCGTCGTTGGGTAACGATGAGGTCAGCCCACGTGTAGGAGGAGCGAGAACGGATTGGTTCGGCGCGAAATGACAAGATGGCGAGGCCTCTGTGGAGGGCCTTCATCTAGCAGTGAATAGATCAAAACTGATTGATGGTCATAGAAGAGATACCATAGCTGGTGAAGAAGTACAGGGACTGCGTTTTTTTATCATTGAGCAAAGAGAAAGAGCAATGTACTGTTCACGTACTGTCAAGCTATCTTCGTTAAACGTCTGTAATTCAATCAGAATGTGAAGTAAATATCAATCAAAATCACTCATCAGAGGTTACCGTGTAATAAAGATACATCGAAAAACAATTCGGGTTTAAGCTGAGATAAAATTTAAACTGGTGCTTTTTGTAAGTGTGTAATGCGGGTTAAATTTATATTCAAACAGAGTGAAATAAACTTCATGATAATACTTCATCGAAGGCTCACTTACAATAATAAACCTAAAGCAAATGTAAAAAAAACCCTCAGCAATCGACGTGAGATAACTCGACATGGGGCGAGGGTTGACGAACCGAGAGCCATTGAAAACGAAGAAACCTTTGATCGACCACCGCCGCCACGTGTTCGCAGCTGTGCGGGGGGATGGGGCCCCCGGAACGTGTGTGACGTCACCGCGCCACGTGACCGACGACAAAGACCCCCAACGTGGACAAGGGAGCGCGCGGCGCGTTCGATGGTCACGTTTATTTGTCGGATGAAAGTGCTTCGAATTACAGCAATAGCATGAACGCCAATGTGTCACCCAGCAACAGAATACATAATTATAATAAAAAGAAAGATTAATAAATTAACAATAGCAAAGAATATCTCTTTCTCCCTTCCCCTCTCTCTGTATATATATTTTTTTGTACAGCACCACGCGATATTTTATATATTTAGAAAAAAGTGACGGTATGTTATCGTGTATATATACTGTTTATAGACACAACCGATGCAAAGAACAGCTCTTATTCCTAACTTCCACAATCCCGCGTTCACTTCGAACTAACATCAAACGATACTCACGTACGCATTACCAAATCTTGAATCGCCGCTTAAGTGGTACGCACGCGCACGCACGCACGTACATAACCATACTGTCGATTCCTCATAATAGCGCTCGTTTTGCATTTTACAAAGATTGCGGTATTACAGTGCCTGCGACCGATGGAGAGAAAAAAAGAACACCTCCAGAAATCCAAGCGGCTCTCGAGCGCCCCGGAAAAACACAGTAACCACAGTCTCAGTTTGTTGTTTATCCCACCCCTCGTAACCAGAGACATGGAGAGATAATTGAAGACGCGATGACATAAACAAAACACTGGGGCGGACGAAAATCTCTCTCGAGACGGCGACGAAATGACAGAGGTATCACATCGGTTTAGTCCATTTTGTGAAAATTTGTGTTTTTTTTTGTCGTGGTGTCACTTTTCAAAGTTTGTTTTCCTATCCGATCGTTGGCTTTGTTTTTTTGTTCGTTCATCAACACGTGCAACGTCCAGCAATTATTGCTGCTGGTTGGTTTGCGTTGTTGTGTTTGTTCAACTCGTCGTTGAGGTGTTCCTCCATCTCCGTTTTGTTCCACGGCCAAACTCACGAAATCAGTTGTGGAGTTTTTTTGTCTTTTTCCCATAAGTCCCAGAAATAATTGGAACTTATTTCACAACTCTCTCTTTCTCCTCCTCGTCATCCAATCCATCCCTCGATCCCTTTCGGTATCCCAACTTTTCCCACGGGCTAATTCCCCGACCCAACACCACCAACGACCACACAACCCCCCCCCCCTCTTCCATTCAACCCTCGGCCACCTTCCCCCACACGGACGTCGCTTCTCTCTACGTTCACTGCCAGGATCCCTGACATGGCCGCGGGGCGGATAACGTGTTGGCGGAGGCCTGCCGCAGGGAATCGCGTTTCCTCTCTGGGCCTCCCGAACCGGCAACACGGCCACGAGGCACAGCAAGCCACGGGTTACCTGCGGTAGAGCTGCTTTTTTTGCGTCGAGTTTGTTGTCCTTCCCCCGCACCTCCGATTAGCACGGTGCGAAAGAAGTGCAACATCACGTACAAAACAGACAAAGATCCCCCGTATAGCCTTAACAGACTGTTGGGGCAAATGCTGTTAGCGAGCACCTATGAAGGCTGGCACACAAGGGGGTGGGTGGCCAGCACCACGCTCGAGCACCTTTATCTCCCCAGTGGCGATGTTTACACACCGCATCAGGTACTCGTCTGAGGCTGAGTCGACTTAGGGGAGGCCCAGGACCTATTCAGATAAATCGTCACACTTGTGTTGGCCGTGAGCGGGAATCGAGCTCGGGCCGCCGGGTTCGTAGCGCAGCGTAGCGCTAAATCGCGACACCACCGCTCCCCATAGCTTACATACATACCACCAACCTAGGCTCCAGCTATTTTATAATCAACCACTCCGTGCAACAGCGGCACCAGCCACACGCACACCACTGCCACCGCCGTCTTCGCTGTGCCGCCAACACTTTTAACCGCCACGACGTGTGTCCAGGAGAAGGATTGCGAGGATGATGATAATAAACCTTCGAATGTTTTTTTTCTTCCGTTTTTCTCCGTGCAGGCCCCGTGTTTTGTTCCGAAAGTGTACGTGATTAAGTGCAATACATACACGCACATATATATGTATCCTGCTTAATAAATATTAAACTTGAAAGAAGACTCACCCCAAACAAACACTTTGGGGGGAGGGTGGTTTGTGTGTTTGTTTTACAAACTCGTGGGCAGTGTTTCTCGAGCCGTGTTACGCGAGTTCGTTAAGTTCGTTCGAGAAGAGCCAAGCATGTGTTGACTTTTTTCGGAGCGCCGCCATTGGGCCCTCGAGGGCCAATCACAGCCGGCTTCTCTAATCGTCACACCGGGAGGGGCGGGAGGGGGGGGGGGGAGGGCAGAGGGGGGGGGGGGGATTTGCACCCCCTGGTGGCATCGCAAAGTAGCCATGAGCTGGTCGTTGAAAAATGAATCGGAAGTTGTTGTTTTTTTTATTTTCAAGCAAAGTTCCATGCCGAAAAGCAGTGGGTCGACTCTGTTTTGGTTTGGTTCGTGAAAACATCTCATTGTTTTGCCTGGTTCGTGTCTTCCCGTAAATGGCAGTGTGACATACTTTACCACATTCTTCATGAACAAATGCCACCTTGTTACGGAACATATATCTTGTATATCCTGCAATGAGCTCACGTCTCGGGGAGTAGATTTCGTAAATTAACAGTTTTCATGTCGGGGTCGAACTATATAAGTCGCCGTTATCTCCTGCCTATCGCGGTTGTGAGAAAGGCCCATTTTTCTAACCATCAGCCTTTGCATGTCCATCTATACACAATGTCATTGATAATATAACGAAGGTTTCTCACACTGCAGCGATCCTATTAAACCCACCATGATTCTGCTTTTCCGCGTTTACCATTCCCCAATCATTATCCGATCAAATACAAATGAAGTCGTAACACGCTGCACGAGCCCGATGATTAATGAACGTGAGTGTGTAGAGTGAGCGCTGATTTATTATTTTGTTCTCTGTGTGTGTGTGTGTGCTTGCGTGCGAGTGTTTATGTACACGTCGCACGTGCCAAACTCGATATCAATTAGATTCAGCGCTCTCAAAAGTCACGTGCGGCGTTTTCTTTTTTTTACCAAAAATTAATCGGGCAGTGGGAACGCGAAACGACGCACATTTTGCATTCGAACAGACGGCGTTTGCGGAATTGCGTATCACGGAGAGCGGCGAATAAGTGAGGTCTGGAAAAAAAAACTGTAATGCACACCACAATTACATCTTTTTTGCGCGAAATGGCATCGAGATATCGCACCTCGAGCAGACAGATTGCTTTGGCTATTCCAGAGTATTGCACGCGCAACACACAAAGAGCAACACGTTGTGACATCGTCGTCATCGTCATTCCCTCACAATTACAGGGAGCCGCAAGACCACGCGCCAGATAAACCAGGTGAGAAAATATATATCCCACAAAACACTATCCGATATAATTGTCTTCACCATACACAAGCGTGTGTAGTTAAATGAATAAGGAGATAAAGAGTCTAGAACGCTTCCCCTGATTTTAGCCGTGGCCTAGAATCTGCACTCAGCTCGCTGGGTTCATAGCGCAGCGCTCGAACCAATGCGTCACAGCTCCTGCCACCGTTCGGAGGCCTTTATCAAGCAGTGGATTGATAAACCCTTGCAATTATTCATTTCCCAAAGAAGGTTTAGTGGCCAAAATACTCGATATGTTTCTACGAGCAACAGAAAGATAAACACATTGTTTAACTTTTTGTAACGTTTGTGCCAAAATTATTCCCTGTTCCAACGAGGGTTGGACGAGGATCGTCTCGGTTAGCGGCCATGAGCCAGTGGTAACCATTCCACATTCCCACGACAGGGGCCAGTCTATCGACAGGACAACCACTGTTGACGTTCCACAAATTGGTACGAATTATTTTGTGAAGAATCACGGAGGGATGATTTGGACGATGAGACGAGTCGAGGCAATGTCCGACGAGGACTTCAACTCGGGAACCTGCCGCGTGCAAATTCGCGTTGACGTGATGCGGTGCGTGAGCTTGCGAAAATCAAAGTGCCGTCGAAATAATAAACGCTGATGATTACAGATCGCATTACAATGACGTCGTTGCCTTACATGAGAGTTCCACGTGTAATCCAGTTCCTCTTCACTTCGCGTAAACAAATATTCAGTTCTCAAATACAAACAAATAAATTCACGCGGAGTTGTCTGCTGCCGAAGGGGGGGGGGGGGGTGTACACGGGGTTGGTTTGACCGGTAGACGCGTGGGGAACGACTTCGAAGTTGTGGGAGGGGGGGGGATCCATGGTGATGTAGGCGGGGGGGCGGGGTCCGAATCCTGTTGCAGAAGAGGGCTATGAAGTATATTGATTTGAGGTGGGGGTGGGGGGCACAGCAGTTTTCTTGCTCCAACCTCTGTCCAAGTGTTCGTTTTTCGGTGGCTCAGCTGCCACCGATGATCCATCCCCACGTTCATCAGGATGGCAGGCAGAGTCGCTGCTGCTGCTGCTGTAGGTCTTGGTCGCTGCTTCTGTTGCAGCAGCAGCTGCTGCTGCTGCTGAACGAGGTCCATTCCATCAGGTTGCTCCGTTACCTTTCAGCTTCTGCTGCTGCTGCACGGCGTGGCGCGCCTTGCGCTCGCGATCCAGCTCGCCGCACAGCGTCTCTACAACGAGACGACGGCGCGTCTGAGTCACCCGTGGTGGAGGTGGTGGTGGTGGAGGTGGCGGTGGAGGTGGCAGTGGAGGTGGCAGTGGAGGTGGCGGTGGAGGTGGCGGGGGGGAGATGCACGCCGATGCTAAACGCTCCGCGGAATCAGATTTCGCGACCGATGTTATCCATGATGAATGTATTTTTGTTTTCCTTTTGGGTTAGATCGCGTAAATATAAATGTGTCGTTACGCACTCTGAATTGTAAATGTTGTGGGTTTAGTCTCCAGCACACCGGTGTGCTGATGTATTTACTAATTGGAACGTTTTATTTGGGTGACAAACCTCACTAATTGGCTGTGTCGGGTGGTGGTGGGTTTAATGGCACAACTCCTACCACGACCCCAACCCCTACCACTACCCCAACTCCTACCACTATCCCTACCACTACCCAACTCCAACCCCTACCACTATCTCTACCACGACCCCAACCCCTATCACTATCCCTACCACGACCCCAACTCCTACCACTATCCCTACCACGACCCCAACCCCTACCACTATCCCTACCACTACCCCAACCCCTACCACTATCCCTACCACTACCCCAACTCCTACCACTATCCCTACCACTACCCAACCCCAACCCCTACCACTATCCCTACCACGACCCCAACCTCTATCACTATCCCTACCACTACCCCAACCCCTACCACTATACCTACCACGACCCCAACCCCTACCACTATCCCAACCTCTCAGTTAACCACTCCCGCCTGTGCTCCTGTCAATAATAACTACACCACCACTCTTAATAACAACCCCACTCACTACCCTTTACGATCTCAACTACTCTAATCTTAAGTAAAAGTGTATCGTTGTTGTAAAGCACCTTGGAATAATGCGCTTCATATATAAATGTACTTAAGATAACATCTCGAATTTTCTCCGGCCTGCACGATTATCCTGTTACGATTATGGCGGACGTTCTTATCATTTACAGATGTCATCGTTGTTGGCATGAGCCGAGCTAATTGGGACCCATAGTGTCGAAATGGGGGCGTCTACGTGTCGGTTCCCAGAGACAGGACCTGTCAGCTGTGCCGTGCCGATGAGCCCTAATAATGGGGAAAACCGGCGTCCACAGCAGTCTATTGTTACATTACCGCTGCCTATCAGGCGGTCACATTTTGCTCGAATTCATTCTGATGGTGGCCTCAAACAAGAGGGCCACCGCTGGGACTCAAGGTAAGTGAAAATAAAACGGATTTCTTTTTTCTTTTCACGTTACCTTACTTTATGTTTTATTCATTATACAGTATTTATTACAGTGGTACATGCATATGTACAACATTTCTTCTTATTTACGAGTTAAACAATGCTCCCCCTTTTTTTATTGAACCACATCAAATTTTATAACACTGACCGTATGATATACGGTACAATTAAATTGCCGAGTTCCGAGATACGAACAAATCGACTTACGAACGGGCACCAGGAACGTTTAACACGTTCGTAACCAGTTCGTAAGTCGATGACTTCCCTAGGTTCCCACCTTGGGAGATTCCCCCTCCCCCGAACCCTGCCACCCCCCCACCCTGCTCCACCATTCGATGGATTGTCGCGATTCAAGCTCTGTCTCCTCTACTGTCTGGTCTTTTCTGCACTATCTCGTTGTTTTGCCGCACCGTACATCGCGCATGCACTGTGTGTCTCGTTTGTATCGTCTTGTCTCGTCCGTACTGCCTCGATTGGTCTCTCTCGTCGACATACGTACCAATTGTCTCGTTTGTAGGACGTGTCTGTACCGTCTAGTTTTGCAATCCTTGTCTCGTTAGTTCCGTCTCATTAGTCCCGTTTCACTGAATACGATTTTTTTAAACCTTACAAATGTGTACATCGAACATATACATCGCAATCGTGAAACCTGTAATCGAGTCTTCGTTTTTGCATTTCCATCCCGAACGAGAGAAAAGTGGGGGAGGGTTAGGGTGGTAGCAGGGTTAGGGTTAAGGTAGTAGCAGGGTTAGAATTAGGGCGATAGCAGTGTTAGGGCGGTATCAGGGCTAGGCAGGGGGTAGCAGGGTTAGGGCGGTAGCAGGGTTAGAGCGGTAGCAGGGTTAAGGCGGCGGTAGCAGGATTAGGGCGGTAGCAGGGTTAGGGCGGTAGCAGGGTAGGCGGTTAGCGGCGGTAGGGTTAAGGCGGGTAGCAGGGTTAAGGCGGTAGCAGGGTAGGGCTTGGGGGTAGCAGGGTTAAGGCGGTGGGGTGGGGCGGTAGCAGGATTAGGGGGCGGTAGCAGGGTTGGGCGGTATCAGGGCTAGGGGGTTGCAGGGTTAAGGGGGGTAGCGGGTTAGGGCGGTAGCAGGGTTGGGGCGGTAGCAGGGTTGGGCGGTAGCAGGGCTAGCGCGTGGTAGCAGGGTTAAGGCGGTAGTGGTAGCAGGGTTAGGGCGGTAGGGTGGGGTAGCAGGGTTAGGGCGGTAGGGTTAGGGCGGTAGCAGGGTTAGGGCGGTATAGCAGGGTTAGGGCGGGCGGGGATGGTAGCAGGGTTAGGAGGTAGCAGGGTTAGGGCGGTGGGGAGCAGGGTTAGGGCAGGGTAGCAGGGTTAGGGCGGGGTAGCAGGGTTAGGGCGGTAGCAGGGTTAGGGCGGGTAGCAGGGTTAGGGCGGTAGCAGGGTTAGGGCGGTAGCAGCAGGGTTAGGGCGGGAGGTGGGGCGGTAGCAGGGTTAGGGCGGTAGCAGGGTTAGGGCGGTAGCAGGGTTAGGGCGGTAGCAGGGTTAGGGGTAGCAGGGTTAGGGCGGTAGCAGGGTTAGGGCGGTAGCAGGGTTAGGTGGTAGCAGGGTTAGGGCGGGTGGGGGGTAGCAGGGTAGCAGGTAGGGCGGTAGCAGGGTTAGGGCGGGTGGGGTAGCAGGGTTAAGGCTGGTAGCAGGGTTAGGGCGGTAGCAGGGTTTAGGGCGGTCGCAGGGTTAAGGCGGTAGCAGGGTTAAGGCGGTAGCAGGGTTAGGGCGGGTAGCAGGGTTAGAGTGGTAGCAGGGTTAGGGTGTAGCAGGGTTAGGGCGGTAGCAGGGTTAGGGCGGTAGCAGGGTTAGAGTGGTAGCAGGGTTAGGGCGGGTAGCAGGGTTAGGGCGCGGTGGGTTAGAGGGTAGCAGGTTAGGGCGGTAGCAGGGTTAGGGCGGTAGCAGGGTTGGTAGCAGGGTTAAGGGTAGGGTGGTGCAGGGTTAAGGCGGGTGGGGGTCGGTAGCAGGGTTGGCGGTAGCAGGGTTAGGGCGGTGGTAGCAGGGTTAGAGTGGTAGCAGGGTTAGGGTGGTAGCAGGGTTAGGGCGGTAGCAGGGTTAGGGCGCGGTAGCAGGGTTAGAGTGGTAGCAGGGTTAGGGCGGTAGCAGGGTTAGGGCGGGGGTAGCAGGGTTAGGGCGGTAGCAGGGTTAAGGGTTCACGGAGGGTAGGATATGAGGGGAGAACGAGGGGAGAGGGTTAGGGGTTTGTAAGGGAGGGGAGAGTGGTCGGGGAGAGGGTAGTTATTGTGGAGGAGGCTTCGTGGAGCCTCATAGACCGGGAGACGTCATAAACTACTCCGTAAACATTCACAATCGATTTCGTTTACGCTCCAAGCCGCGTTGTTTAAATGTCGTCCCGATCGTCGCGCCCGTCCGTGTAAACTGGCGCCGAGATGACGAGAGCCAATCTCCGCGCGTTTTTATTTGTACTCATCACAGTTGCCGAGCACAGGCTCAACGGGCCGAGCGGTCAGCAACAAACAGCACAGTTAAAAATTAAAGTTCATGAAAAAAAGTTAAGACGTTTCTTAATTTACGAATTTAAGACTGTGCCGACCTAGGGGTGGTGTCTTGGACCGGTTCAAATCATCCACTGATGTTCGCCGTGGGTACACGTGACACACAGGCACCCCAAAGACAAAGACCCCCGTATAGCCATAACAGGCTGTTGGGGCAAGTGCCGTTAGCGTTCGCCTTGCAGGCTGGCACGGCACATGAGGGGGTGGGTTGCCAGCACCACGCCCAGTCGCATTTGTCTCCCAGTGGCGATCTTTACACATCGCACCAGGTACTCGTTTGAGGCTGAGTCAACCTAGGGGACGCCCATGACCGGTTCAGATTATCGTCACTGGTGTTTGCCGTAAGCGGGAATCAAACTCGAGTCGCCGGGTTCGTAGCACAGCGCGCTAACCAGTACACTACCGTTCTCCAGACCGTATGTAGACACACACAGACACACACAGACACACAGACACACACAGACACACACACAGTCAACATAGACACACAGACATACACACAGACACACAGACACACACAGTCAACATAGACACACAGACACACACACATAGCCACACACATAGAGAAAGACAAAGATCCCCCATTTAGCCTTAACAGACTGTAGGGGTAAGTGCTGTTAGCGAGCACCTATGAAGGCCGGATCGGTACACGAGGGGGTGGGTGGCCAGCACCACGCCCGACCGCCTTTGTCTCCCTAGTGGCAATGTTTACACACCGCACCAGGTACTCATTTGAGGCTGAGTCGACCTAGGGGAGGCCCGGGACCGGTTCAGAAAATCGTCACTGGTGTTGGCCGTGAGCAGGAATGGAACCCGTGTCGCCAGTTTCATAGCGCAGCGTAGCGCTAACCGCTACACTATCGCTCCCCACCACACACATAGACACACACACACACAGACACACACACAAACACAAGCATGCCCGCGCGGACATCGATTACATAAGCACCGTGTGCACCCACATTGTTTTTAACGTGGCCGTGTTATTCACGGGCGTTTACCGACACAAATCAATGGGCATCGATTTTGCCGCCTTTTACGACTTGGTGGAATTGAATCGCCCGTAAAAGAGCAAATTCTAAATTGAATGCACGGATTAGAGCGAAAGAGACCGAGAGAGAGAGGGGGGGGGGGAGATGCAGGACTAACGGATCGAATTAAGTCGCCTCGCTTAGCCAAATTGTCTCAGCGGCCCGTGAGGTCGTCATTTAAACCTCCCAAAAAACACAATTTCATTGATTTATTGACGTTCTCTTATTTAACCCCGGCGTGGAACCCCGCAGAGATTCATTGCCTCCTCTTTTTTTGCCGTATGGGATAATATGGAAGGTGGACAATGCGTGAGATGGGTCGGCAGTAGCGCAAGTAGGTTCGCGGATTTTGTCTCTTTGCCCTTTTCGCGTTTAGGTTGAAAATGGGGGACGATGGCAGTGGAGGAAGTTGTTGGTGCGGCAAATGGGTTGATTCATTATCCGGCACAAGAAAACGGGAGAGTAAGAAGCCGGTGGAAGGTGGTGACGCGTGAGTTCACGTGAAGCGATTCGAACGATCGGATGCAAAGCGGGAGGAGTATCGCACGCAAAGATCTCGGGTGAAATATCAGGGGGCAGCGCAAAACACGAGGCCACGATGGCCGACATCTCTGAGAAAGTGCATGGCCACATTGAGAGAGAGAAAGAGAGAGAGAGAGTACAGCAAGGTAAGGTGATTTCATGATTGCATCAACTTTATGCATTGTGACATTGGGGTTGTGATGGGGGGGAATAGAAGGTGGTGCAGCAAGTGGGATCCGTTCATTATCTCCGTTTTGGGGTTAAGGCCGAGGGGATGATGTGGTGTACAGGGGGAGGTAGTATAGCAAGTAGGTTCGAGAACCGACCGATCTGTGTGGAGCTTTGAGTGTCGTTCCCCTCGACTGCGTGGTGGGTTTTCTCCGGGTTCTCCGGTTTCCTCCCACACGCTGCAAAACACTCATTAGTGGGATCGGCCAAAACACCCCAAAGTGAGCAGGAACCTCCTGAACACGAGTCCTGAGACTCGGCGAGGCTTTCCAAGGTCAATTTTATTAATTATAGTCAGGGCCGTCCATAGGGGGGGGGGGCGGTCTGGAGCGGGGGGCCCCACGTGACGTTAGTATTACGTCAAAACACCCCCCCCCCAAAGCCCGGGGCCCGGGGCGGTCACCCCGATTCGCCGTACCCTAGGGACGGCTCTGATTATCGTCTCAGTAATACGATACAATCTGGTTAATGGTGCAAATGAAACAGAGGAGAAAACACACACACAGCGAGACAAACAAGCATAGATTCACCATTGGAACCTCCTTTGCCAGTAGCAAAATATGATAATTGTTTTTTTACCCTTTTATCTGGCAACAAAACTGACACCTTTTTTTGGCGTCATCTGGTCCAACACCAATGTGAGACTAGGCTCTAAGGAAAGCTGTCTCGGGTGTGGACCAATCAATTCAAGGACAGTGCATACATTATCAGAGTTATGTGTTTTGTTTGCATTCCGACTTCAGGTATCGTGGTCAATGCAAACATGACTCCTTGTATAAAAAGGTGTCAGTTTTGTTGCCAAATAAAAGGGTAAAACAACAATTATCAAGCATAGCTTGTTTTCCTCCTCCCCAATCGAATCCCCCAATTGTGAACCTTTTCTTTCTCATCGCTGCAGGGAGAGTTAAGGGGGTAGGGGCTGGATCGCTACATGCCTAACAAACAAGACTCCTTCACCGTGCACTCACTGCGTCTACATCAACACCATCAGTCGGCGGGGATATTGCATCATTATCATCATTATCATCATCAGCAGCCACGATCGATCCACGACTGGATGAAAGCCTCCCCGAGTCGTCGCTACCGACAACAGCCCCCCCCCCCCACCGCAGCGCGTACTGACTCGTCTGGCAACCGCGCAAAGGGAGTCGATCTCATCGCTCCGTCTGCCGCAGAGGCGGCGTCCTCTCGGGCGCGTCCCCTCCGTTGGCTGCGTGGCGTCGAGGTCCGGCGAATTCGCGGGAGGTGAGCTTCCACGGCAGCGAGCCAGCGGTTGTGAAAATGTAAGTCTCGTTCCTCTCCTCCCATCGTCTCACTTACGACATAACTCCCCGACACCCACCCACCCCCATCTCTACACGTCCCCACTCGCCCACTCGCCCACTCCACTCTCCCCTGACCACTTCCACCAACCCACTCTGGGTCCAACCTCACCTTTAAGAGACTGCAGTTCTCTCTCGATCTTCCTCGGAGGTCCATCTCGTGTAGCAGGAATTTCTGAAGCTCCTCTGTAGGAGGCAGAATACACACACCCACGCACACACGCACACACGCACGCGCATCCAAACCCATTGAGTTGTGATTAATTTAATCGTACTTACGGGACGGATTCACGCGTTGTTGGCGAAACTCACTCTTCGCCACGTTTATTTTGGGGGACAAAATACGTAAACGTCAACAACAACCACAACAACACCCGCCATTCGCCACAAAGTGTCGGTGACGTCACCACGGCGCTTGTGCCAGGCTAGGTGCACTTTAAGACCACGTGAAGTGTCGAACGACCGCTGGTAGGAGGTCACGGGACAGACCCAGGTGCCATAGGTTAACTGACTGAGATGACTGGCCGATGCACTCGCTACCCGTGCCCCCAACATGTGCATACTTGCTGCGTTATCCACCCGGCTCTCCGCCCGTTGTTGTGAGCGTCGCCACCACCGCCAACCAACAACGAAGCCAAATCGCCGTGGCGATGCGATGTGTTTCGGCCATTTTGTAGAGGGCTATGTCCTCCTCGTGGCAAAATCATCTCCGGCGCTAAGGTCGACCATCAACCTCTCGGCTGATGGCGCACAGCTGTCGACGGATTGGAGTTAGCGCTGGACTCGACTTGCGTGCAAGCTGCTGCAGTAGGCAAATCGCTCGTCACGTTGCAGGAACGTGAGAGGTGGTGATGGCCTTGAGGGGGGGGGGGGAGGCGGGGAGCCTTTCGTTCAGCAGTGGATTGACAATGGCCAATGGCGAGGATGATGAAGATACTCACTGGGTGTCATTCTCAGCGGCGGAGCGGTGGCACTGTGGTTCGCACGCTACACTCTGAACTCGGTGACCCGTGCCAAGCTGGTGAATTATATTATCGGAGGCGGGGGGGGGGGGGCTCAGAACTGGTTTCGACATCACTCGCTGCTGGCTTTTAGCCATGGCCTGGAATCAAACTCAGATGCCAGGGTTTATAGCGCCAGAATCACTGCATCACTGCTCCCCAGTTTGAACCACATCGCAAACGTGCACAGTGCATACAAACGTACGCACATGTGATGTTGCGTTTCTGCGGCCGTCTGGAACGCTCTGCCTTCCGATGTGAGGAAGCCACTGGAGCTATGCACTTTTAAATTATCTCTATTGAAAACTCATTTCTTCAGAACTGCTTTTGTGTTTAGTTTGCTATCCTTCCCCTCCGCCTCCAATTAGCGCGGTTGGCTACGTATGGTTGCGAAGAAGAAGTTCAACATAACATACATATATTTACATCGGCCTACGTACGTTTCTTAGTACAGATAATAGCAGCGTGGCGTTTATTTATGAATAGCCTGACTATAAGTCTCAAGGCACCTTTTCAGAATGGTCCTGCATTGGGAAGTTGGCCATTTCCAGTTTAAAAAGAAACTTAATTTACCCAGAGAAACTCCGAGGGGTAGACACTCAAAGCTCCACACAGATGGATTCACGAACACCCCCCCCTCCCGTTTTGCACTGCCCCTTGCCTCCAAAGCAATGGATTACAAGCGCACACCACGATATTCAGCCACAATAGACAAAGATGCCCCGTGTAGCCTCTTAAAACGCACTGTTGGGGCAAGTGCCGTTAGCGAGCGCAACATAAAAGCAGAAACGGCACACAAAGGGGGGGGGGGGGGTTGGGGGTGGCCAGAAATCACGCGCGGCCGCCTTTGTCTCCCCAGCGGCGGTGTTTACACGCCGCAGCAGGTACTCATTTGAGGCCGAGTCGACCTAGGGGAGGTTCAGATAATCGTCACTGGTGCTGATGGTGGCAGTGAGCGGGAATAGAACTCGGGTCGCCTAATGCGCTAACCACTGCACTACCGTTCCCCACACAATAAAGACAAAGATCCCCCGTGTAGCATTAACAGACTATTGGGCCAAGTGCTGTAAGCGAGCACCAATGAAGGCCAGCACAGCACACGAGGGGGTGGGTGACCAGCGCCACGCCCGGCCGCCTTTGTCTCCCGAGTGACGATGTTTACCCACCGCACCAGGTACTCATTTGAGGCTTAGTCGACCTAGGGGAGGCCCAGAACCGGTTCAGATAATCGTCACTTGGTGTTGACCGTGAGCCAGGAATCGAACTCGGGTCAACAGGTGCGCACCGCAGCGCGCTAACCGCTACACCACCGCTCCCCACACAATATACAAAGACAAAGATCCCCCATATAGCCTGTAACAGACTGTAGGGGCAAGTGCTGTTAGCGAGCACCTATAAAGGCCGGCACAACACACACACACACAGAGACACCCACACACCTCGTACCGAGGAAGCGCTATATTATTTACAAGCGCGGGGCGCGCCGTGCATCCTTCCCCTCGCCGCCGTCGTCCGCCCTTCGCCTCTCTGGGCATAAAAAGTTAATGGAGCGCTCGGGCAGGCGCGGGGTGCGCCACGAAGACACGAGACGTGGGGAGGCAGCCGCTCAGGCACACACGGCGGGGGTGGGGTGGGGGGCGAGGGGACAATGGGGGGGGGGGGATGAGGAGAAGGGGGGGGGTACTCATTGCTCGGGATTTACGAGGCTCCGACTCAACACACGGGGCACAAGAGCTGAGATTTGGGGGGGGGCGGGGTGGAAGTGGGAAGTGGGGCGCGGGGTAAGTGGGTGGGGGAGTCAGAAAGTGGTAGGGGTGGTGGGGGGGAGGACTTCACGCCCCCCCCCCCCCCCCGTTAAACGTGAATCAGAATCTTTATTTATCCTCTAGAAATCCGATGAGCTGTGAAGCTCTATTTTTCGCTCACAGATTTCCAGTAGGGGCGGGTCAGAGAGTTACAACGACAATAGAAGTGCAAAGTATAGGACAGGTAAGGAAATCACAAAAAATGTTGGTAAAATTAATTAAGTATTTAACTTAAATTGCATAAGTGCAATACTGTGAACGCAAGAGGTCATGTTGCGGCCCTCCAATTGCTTGCGGCTGGCTACGTACGGTGCGAAAGAAGTTCTGCACATACATATGTCCCTGATACACCACCTGCCACAGTACAGGTCACGAAAGCGAACGCTCCAGGTTCGGGTTTTTTCAAACTCCAGTTCTCGGCACCCACCACGGTTCTCATTTTCATGTTCACCGATCTTATCTGTTGAAGTGTGAATTAAGTCATTACACGCTGCCCGCGTCTGATGGTTGGTGAACCAATACGTTGCCGCGATGTTGAGAGAGCGCAGATTCAGGTGAATGGGAGAGATCTCTGGAGCACCCGGCACGCGTAAATAAGCAAACACACACGCAACATCTTAATGTGGCTCAGCGATCTGTATACACACGGGCCACGCAACAAAGTCAAGGACCCCCGTATAGCCTTAGCAGACTATTGGGGAAAGTGCTGTGAGCGAGCAGCACCTATGAAGGCCGGAGTGGGTCGCCAGCACCACACCCGGCCGCCTTTGTCTCCCCAGTGGCGATGTTTACACACCGCAACAGGTACTCATTTGAGGCTGAGTCGACCTAGGCGAGGTCCAGGACCGGTTTATGTATATCCGCCACTGTTATTGGTCGTGAGCGGGAATAGAACACAAGCGCAGTGCGCTAACCACAGCGCCACCACTCCCCACTTTCTGGATCACACAGACACAGCAATTCACACAATCATTCATCAAAATCGAGTACAGGTCACTCCGACAACCAGGGTCACGGCTCGAGGATCCATAAATGATCGTCTCGTTTTTACTGTCTCGTTCGAATTGATTAGACAGTACTTTTCTCGTCGAATTTGCACAAGCTGAGTTCACTCCGTAACTTCTGAACATAGCAATGAGTGCGTGTACGAGTTGCATGTCATTTGCGCTCGCATGATTCAATGCACGTGTGAGCAAAATGGAATGTATTTTAAAATACCTGCTCAAAGCAGCCAAATGTGATTGCCGTACACCCCCCCCCGCCCGGTGACTGATTTCCACAAGTGTACAAATTGATTGACTTTTGTTGTTGTTGCTGTTTAAACAATCACGAAGCGCCGCGTGATGAGTTGAACACATTGTGATGTTAATAAACGGAGTGGAAAGAAAGTGCACACTGTCCGTACAACCGCAGACATCGTGGCTCAGGACGCTGAATGGAAATAAGCGGGCATATCTCTGGCGTATATCAGAATCGGGAATGTTTATTTAGACTGGAGGAAACCGATGAGCTATGAAGCTCTTTGTCAGATATGTCAAGTATATTTATATCTAGAAAAAAAAAGGAAGTCGGTCATAGCCAGGGGCAAAGAGGAGCATTCTTGAGCCTGGACTTGAATAGAGGGCAGGGAATCGACGGCACGGGAGGCGGAGGGGATGCAGTTTCAGACTTGGGAGCAGCATTATTAGTGATCTCCCACAGAGCGAAGGTTGACTGGGATCCTTGGCAGAAGCCTTGCGTACGGCAGCAGATAATTTGTTGGAGGGGAGTAGAGTGAGATTTGAGGTCGCAGACAATGTCTGGATGGGCGAACGATAGGTTGAAATGAGAGGGGAGAGGTATGGGAGTGCTTGGAGGGGAGTACGATAGGTTAAGACGAGAGTGCAGAAGTAGTTAGGAGGAATGTGGACACTGCCGACTTTGAACTTGATCCACGAATTGCTTGGGAGCCTGTGGAGCATGGAGGATTACTCCACGTCTCGCTTACAGATATGGTTCGGGGTGAGGAATGTGCCAATTGTACATGTTGGAAACAACCACGGCGATGTGTCACGAGCTCATGAAGTCCCCGTGACTCCCTTTACCTCTCTGGAATCATAGCGGCTTTGGAGGACAGGGTGTACGGCCACCTCTCAGCCACTCTGTGCGGAACGTGCGTGGCACGTGTGCGGCAGGGCTTACCCTTGTCCATGCGCGTGATCTCGGGCTGGTAATGTTGCTCCACGGGTGTCGGGGTGACGTCACCTGCACCGCACACACCGCAAGGGCCGTGAGTCCAGCTCAGACAGTCGCATTCGTCGCAACTCCGTTGCGCTTTAATGTCCACTCGGTCGGGTCAACATCTCGGGTGCCGTGCGGTCTCGTCTCGGCGCGCCCACCGTTGTGCACGTGCGCGGCCCCCTGCTCGACCGTGCGGTGGCTTCTGGGAGGGGCGTCCGCTGCCCCGCCTCTCAGTAGAAGGGGGTTCCCCGTACCTGGTGGGAATTGGGACACAAAGCGGCGTGGTCAGTACACAAAGAACCTCCCCCCCCAAACCAACCCCCCTCCTCCCCCACCCCGGGATAGCCTCAAGCAGCAGACTCTTTTGAGGCGAGTGTTGTATAGCCCCCCCCGGAGTTTTATTTATTTGTTTTAGTTTTGAACTCACAGTCACTGCGCCAGGCGATGGACGGTTTACAAATAGAGCGTCGTCCACCAGTGGACCGAGGAGTTCGCCTCCCGTGGAGAGTGCGACCCCAAATCCGATAGTCTGCGGCCACAGCCAGCTGGCTATCAAGTCAATGTTACACGTTAATTTGGCAATTAAGGTGAATAAAGAAAGGAGTTTCACGCTAGCGTATTCATCGTAAACTAACGATAACACGTACAATTCATACGGAGACAGCAGTAAGGGCGGTGGCTATTAGGAGCCTGACTGTTACGTTTGAATTCGACGGATTATTCTACGCGGTAAGTTCGCTTGAATATAAACGCGTTTAATGCACGATTGGTAGGATATAACGGTAGTCATAATAGCTGAATGATTTCTAACAACAGTTTTGTATTTTCTCAAGTATACACGCATCTTAAGAGTGTGTGATCAACACATCTAAATAAACGAGTGAAATTGCCGCGGTCCTATATTTGTGAGTGAGTGGGTGTGTATATGTATGTGTGTGTGTCAACAATGAGTACCTGGTGCGGTGTGTGAACAGCCACATGGGGAGACAAAGGCTGCCGAGTGTGGTTGCTGGCCACCCATCCCCTTCGTGTGCCGTGTCGGCCTTTATGTGTGCGACTCGCTAACAGCACTTGCCACTACATTATGTTAACGTCTATATGGGGGGGGGGGGGGCGGGAGGGGCATCTTTGTCTTTGTAAGTCGCGTGTCAGTCAGTAGTTGTGCGTGTGTAGCGAGGGTTGGTGGGGCTCACTGAGACATTTCACGGCATCCGCACCACGTGCATCACGCCCAATGCATGATGATGATGATGGAGCAGGGATAAGATTGTACATGAAGTTGCGGAGGCGACTGCGTGGGGCGATGCTGTAGAGCGCAGTGGTTCTTAACATTTACAGCAGCCGCATTGGTAGCCCTTCGATTCGCAATCGTCCAAAACAAATGTGCACTGTTAATAACTACATAGGGTTTGATGAGACAACGTAGTGGCAACGTACGATGCCCGCGCTTGGCGTTTCGACGATTTACCTTCTAACAAAAAATCTGGCCAAGGGTCTCGCAGCCCACAGAAAGGGCATCTGGGGGTGCGCGCGTGTACCCCCAATGGGGGTGCGCGCGTGTACCCCCGGGTAAAGCACTACAGCTGTAGACAAACAGACCGCTGCCTTCTCTCACACCGCAGTCCTCGCGCGCGATCCCACCACGGCGCCGCGTCTCTCCGCGTGTGCCGCACTCTGCGTTCTCCCGGCGAGCCAGAGTACGGCTGCTCCTCTGACGCCCACGGGAAGGGATTTGTGTTTGTGAAACAAGAGCTTCATGGCTCATCGGATTCCTCCGGTGTCAATAATTCTCCGTGCGGTGATCCACCAACCCCCCTCGCCGCTGCCTCCACGGCGCTGCCTTCATGGCCACGTGCATTGCCACCACCGCCGGGCATTCACTTGGAATCTCGTGGCTTTTATAATTAACATGGCTTTGAGATAAACGATTCTCATCATCGATGAGACCGTGCAAGTGATGTCTCCTACTGCGGGACTGCCCGGACAAAATCCACCAAGGCTTACGAGAGCGTAACACTCGTGGGCTCCCGTTAAAAAAAAAACACACACACACAAACTTGCTGTACTGCCACGGAAGGTTCACAAATCTCTGCGCTGCGCGATCCACCAAACCTTCGCTTTCCGAAGCGCCGAATCACCGCCGCGCGCCCGTGGCTGTTCTTTAGTAAAGTCCTGAGGCTCCGTTGTTAGCTCCGGCGTAAGACGTAAACAGGCGGGGTGAGTGTAAATGTGCGCGTGTGCGCGTCCGTGTCTGTCTTTGTGTCTCCGATTAGCACGCTGGGCTACGTACGGCGCGAAAGAAGTCCAACGTACATACGTGCGCGCGCGTGTCTCTCGGTCGACTCAGCCTCGAATGAGTACCTGGTGTGTGAACATCGCCACTAGGTAGACAAATCGGCCTGACGTGGTACTCACTACCCCACCCCCATCGTGTACAGTTCCGGCCTTCATAGGTGCTTGCTGTAATCACTTGCCCCAACAGTCTGTTCAGTTATACGGGGGTTCTTTGTCTTTGTGTTGTTGTGGAGCGCAGCGGTTCGCGCATTTCCCTACGAACCGGCCCAGTTGTGCGACACGGGGCGACGAGCGATATCTGTACCGGTCTTGGGCCTCCCCTAGGTAGACTGGGGCCTCAACTTAGCACCCGCTGCGATGTGTAAACATCGGTCTCCCGCTAGGGAAGGCAAAGGCGGCCGTGTTATCTAGGCGGCTCATACACGTGTGCAATGTCCCACACGTTGAGAGGTGCTGCGCTGAATTTCCGCGTACAAGCAAAACAGGGAGACAATATATCGTCGTGTTTGTACGCGAGCCTCGGCTGTCGTGGTCCCCATTGCTTTCTGCTGCTCCCCAAACTCTCACGGGGGAGGCAGTGGGGGGGGGGGAGCTGCCTGGCTACGCTCTACCACACCGTGGCCGGGAATCGAACTCAGGTTGCCGGGTTCAGAGTGGCAGCACGCTGACCACTACACTGCTACTTCCCCACCACACACACACAGTATTACACACACACACGGTACACACACACAGTATACACACACAGTACACACACACAGTATACACACAGTACACACACACAGTATACACACAGTACACACACACAGTATACACACACAGTACACACACACACGGATACACACACAGTATACACACACACACGGTACACACACACACAGTATACACACACAGTACACAACACCACAGTATACACACTACACACACACAGTACACACACACACTGTACACACACACAGTACACACACACATACACACACAGTACACACACAGTACACACACACGGTACACACACACGGTACACACACAGTACACACCACACAGTATACACACAGTACACACACAGTATACACACACAGTACACACACACGGTACACACACACATTATACACACTAGTACACACCACAGCAGCACACACATAGTACACACACACAGTACACACACACGGTACACACACACACAGGATACACACACACACACAGTACACCACACGGTACACACACAAGTACACACACACAGTACACACACACCGTATACACACACAGTATACACACAGTACACACACACACACAGTACACACACACAGTACACACACACACAGTACACACACACGGTACAGACACACACAGCATACACACACAGTACACACACAGACAGTACACACACACACAATATACACAGTACACACACACAGTACACACACACACAGTACACACACACAAGACAACTAACCTTAATAGATGTTTGGGGCAAGTGCTGTTAGTGAGCACCAATGAAGGCCGGCAAGGCACACTAGGGGGCGGGTGGCCAACACTACGCCCGGCCGCCTTTGTCTCCTCTGTGGCGATGTTTACACACCTCACCGGGTACTCATTTGAGGCTGAGTTGACCTAGGGGATGCCTACACACACACACATGCACGCACCGGAGCGCTCTGCCGATCCCCGTCCGTATTGGCTGAGCACGGGAGTCATGGGCGCGGGCGAAGGTCCATCATCCCGTTCCTCCTGCCAACAGAGACAGCAGCATCATTGTCAACACCGCTCCCACCACAATCTTCATCTTTATATGTGTGCGTGAGACGCTTTGCTTGAAATCATCATCATCAGCAGCATCATCAGTAGCAGCAGCAGTATCATAGTCAGCGGCGGCATCATCGTCGTAACCATCATCCTCATCATAATCATTACCACCGCTGACACCAAATATAAGTATGAAAATCTTCAATAGATGTGTCGTTGTTCTCATAATTATAATCAGTAGCAACATCATCATCAACAGCAGCAGAAGCAATACTCATCATCATTAGCAGAAGCATAATCGCCATCATCATCATCAAGGCAATGACCTCCTCTATTTAAAACCCCCCATCAAAACTAATTACCGCACGGCCCTACGCAGCCAAGACGGGTTTCGTGTAAATGAGGGTCACCGCAGCTAATGATCGCGATTAATTCTTTAATTATCTGTTACTCACATGCACGTGCAGACGCGCGCGCGCGCCCGCGCGCACACACAGCCTCAGAGACCCACACGGGCTCACACACAGAGAAACCGCCAAGACACACGCACACAGGGGACATATACACACAGAGACTCGCACAGAGACACAGACAGAAATAACAAAGAGACGTACACGCGCACAGACACAAAAGACAAAGATCCCCTGTAGCGCTTTAACAGACTGTTGGGGCAAGTGCTGTTAGCGGAACACCTAATGAAGGCCGGTCAGGCACACGAGGGGGTTTGTGGCCAGACTCACACCCGGCCGATGTTTACACACCGCACCAGGTGCTCGTTTATGGCTGAGCCGCTCTAGCGGAGGCCCAGGACCGGTTCAGATAATCATCACGGGTGTTGGCCGTGATCGCAGTGCGCTAACCACTACACTACCGCTTCTCAGACACGGATTCATACACAAAGACAAAAATCCCCCGTAAAGCCTTTAATACACATGTAGGGGTGCTATGGGGAATAAACACATGACACGGGAAGGTGTGGTTACACCCACACCTTGGTGGCTACAACAACGTCCGCTAAGGCTCCAGTGGGTATAAAGTGCGGGGAGCAGGGAGCTGGGGGAGAGTGTGGGGCCCGAGGCTGAAGCAACCAGTGAAGAAAGAAGGCCAGCTAGGTGAGACCCTGGAACTCCTGTGACCGCTGCCCTTTTCAGGGCCGGCACAGCAAGCCAGTGGTGCGGCCCCAGAGCCCCCAGAGTCAGAGTCCTTCTAAGGGCTGGTCTGGTCGGCGGGGTGCCGAGATCTGTGCCTAACCAGGGCCGGATCTGATAGCCTCCCTTAGAGCCCTACCAGGAGGAACTGGGAGCCTAGAGCTTAGGCTAGAGAGCCTGGGGTGTGTTCCTGAGTTATACGGGTGGAGGGGCCGCTACCCCTTCTAGTGTAACCCTTGTTAAGGTTTAAATAAATAGTGCTGCTTCTATTCTGCCGTCTCCGTGTCCTGGAATCCACTACACACACACACGCGCGCGCGTACAACACGTATGCCCCGTTATACGCGGCTGCGGGTTACTATATAACGTTACACGCGCATGTCAGCTCGTCACACACTGACTCAGCGTGGCTGGCCCATCAGCGGAACGAGATGAGCGCATCTGCGGATACGTAACCAGATTAATATTCCGTACGAGCAAAAACGGATACACCACTTCATGTACACGCGAATGAACAGACGAACGATTGAATGAATGAATGAGTGAACGATTCAACAAACTACTGAACGAATTATGGGCCGAGTGGCCGGCTGGCTGACAGGCTCACGTGGTGCGACTGGCTCGTAATCGCCCGCTGAAGTGAGGTGTCTCTCTCTCACGCAAATCAGACACGGAGGTCTTCCCTCCGCCCCCCCATCTCTTTGTTGTTGTTGTTGCAAGCTGTACTTTTAGTTCTCATCCATTTGGAAATGCATCCGCTGTGTAAATCTCTGCGTTCCGGTGTCTGGATGGAAGACTATAGGTGTGTATGTCTGTGTATGTTTGTGTGTGTGTTTGTGTGCGTGTCTGTGTGTGTCTGTGTGTGTTTGTGGGGAGCGGTGGCGTAGCGGTTAGCGCGCTGCACTACGAACCCGGCGACCCGGGTTTGATTCCCACTCCCGGCCAACACCGGTGACGATTATCTGAAACGGTCCTGGGCCTCCCCTAGGTCGACTCAGCCTCAAATGTATACCTTGTGCGGTGTGTAAATATCGCCACTGGGAGACAAAGGCTGCCGGGCGTGGTGCTGGCCACCCACCCCCTCGTGTGCCGTGCCGGCCTTTATAGGGTGCTCGTTAACAGCACTTGCCCAACAGTATGTTGAGGCTATACGGAGGATCTTTGTCTTTTGTGCATGAATGTTTGCTCGCTTAACAGCACGGGACCCGAAGAGTTGGCTCTAAGCGGCTTCTCTGGTGAAGTATGGTCAAACACCCCCTCACCGCCCCCACCCCCCACTTTAGGAGCCGTCCATAAATGACGTCACGCGATTTTGGACGATTTTTGACCCCCCCCCCCCTCGTCACACGTCGTCACAAAAAGTCAGACCCCCCCCCTCAAATATGACGTCATAGCGCTCTGCCCCCCACCAAAATAAAATATGCTTCAAATCGCTTTAAAACTATTGTCATTGCAATGCGTATTTAATGTGGCGCTGCACTCTGATGTTGTAGGAGAAAACATTCATTAAAAAGTCTATTTAATTAAGTAGAACGTGTTGTCTTTATTTATTTAAAGTTGCGCATTTTGATGTGACGCCACATTTCTCAACCCCCTCCCCCTAGGTGTGTGACGTCATTTATGTACGGCCCCTGAATATGATTTCAGCCCAATTAATGATGAGTGTGTGTGTTATACAAGTGGGGCACTCGAAGAAAAGCCACGTGCGCAAGGGGGAAACGCTCGATACCCGTTTGACAAAGTATCTTATAGTTAATGATATGATGATTATACGAGTATTATGTGCATCACGAGAAATATACTCGCGATGCACTAGTACTGCACAAATATATACTGTATTAGACATTACAACTCAATCTTAAGCAAGAGCTAATAACAATAATCGACAAATAAAACAACCGTACATTTCAGTACACACGCACACCCACAAGAGGCGAGGAGTGAAGTTCACAAACGAGCCTTGGTGCGCGTTCTCCGTCCGATGGTCATCATTGTATTTTTTTTGTTAACCAAGTACAAAAAAAACGTACCAAATGTTTTTTTCCCCCCATTAATATTTATGAACAAAATCTTAATTAACGTCCGCGGTGTTTTCGACCGCGTGGGTTCTGCAATGGCTCGGAGTCACGCCGGAGACGATCAGTGGCGCAGTGGCGATGCCATGGTTTTTTTTTTTAAGGATCGCGAATTTATTCCCACTCTCATTTGCATACCGTTTACCAGCTCCATTAGTGGATGAGAAGGGTATTCCAGTGGCCCGCGGCAAGGGACACGTTCGGCCACTGACAGCGGAAATTATTCACGATGTCCGACTTCAAATTCCGCTCTCCCCCCCCCCTAAAACAAAACAAAACTGGAGGTTGGAACGAAACGGTGCCCCCCCCCCCCCTTCGCCTTACCCCCCGTCTCCCCTTAATCCCCCCCCGGCTCCTGTAGCCCCCGTCCTCACGGTCAAATTGCCTTTCCCCACACCTTCGCCACCCTCTCTCCGACCCCAGTGCCAAAGCCACCGCCCCCCCCCCCCCCCCCCAAAAAAAAAAAACCCCGAGCAGGAGTTGTTTCCTTTTCGACAAAATTAACAGCGGATTTCGCTGGAACTCGGCAGAAAGCTAAGCGGGATTATCATCCTGCTCAAGGCGTCGGGGTGGGGTGATCTGCGGCAAGCAAATCTCCAAATGGCATTTGCTTGCCGGAATCTGTCGGCGCGATGCTGCGAGACTGCGAGGAGTGAGGCCTGCACGTGGAAGTGTCGAGTGTCACGTTTGCTATGCGAGTATGTTGAACTTCCTTCGCGCCGTACGTAGCCCACCCTAGATACGCCCTCGTGGGTGGCGGCGGCGGCGGTGGTGGTGGTGGGGTCTTTTTTCATCCTCTACAGGCACTCTGGATTTCAACACTCATCAGTTACGTTGGCCGAATATCGCATTTCGGAACCTGTTGAAAAAAAAGGAGTCCACAAACTGAGTCATTCCTGAGTAACGAATCTTATGTGTGTGTGTGCGTGTGTGTACGTGTGTGTGTGCGCGCGTGTGTGCGCGTGTGTGTGCGTGTGTGTGTGTGTGTGCGTGTGTGCGTGCGTGATTCCCGCTCACGACCAACACCAGTGTGACGATTATCTGAATCGGTTCTGGGCCTCGCCTAGGCCGATGCAGCCTCAAATGAGTACCTGGTGCGGTGTGTAAACATCGCCACTGGGGAGACAAAGGCGGCCGGGCGTGGTGCTGGCCACCCACCCCCTCGTGTGCCGTACAGGCCTTCATAGGTGCTCGCTAACAGCACTTGTCCCAACAGTCTGTTAAGGATATACCGGAATTCTTTGTCTTTTTTTGTATGCATACATGTACATATGTACATAAAATTAATTGTTATTCTATTACAGCACTAGTGTGAGGTCAAGCGCTGCAAAGCAGTGGTTATCGAACTGAATTCTGAACCCGGCGACCTCGGTTCGATTCCCGACCTCACGGCTAACATCAGTGGCGAAGTGATATCGTAACAACCCCCTTGATCAACTTCATCGACCCGCAAATGACCAACGCGCCGACCTACAGTCAAACAATCGCATGGCGATCACGGCACGGGGAGGTCTTCATTCGTTTAAGTTCGTGTACAAAGGGATTTAAACAAATTGAATATTTCACGACTCGCACCGCCTCGCGCGCTTTTTCGCGGGACACACGGCGACGTGGCGGCTGACGTCATCACGCAAGTTTGCGCGTTGACGTCACCACCGTGCAGTTTGCCCACCCGCACGACAGCCAGCAAAACTTTTTTTTTCGAATATAGTTTGGTATTTTAGCGTGTGATGTTCGATTCCCTTAGTATTTACGGGGGATT